GAGGTACAGATCTCTTTACCGACCCAGTCTTCTCACCAATTCCCACGCAAACAAATCCCAGGATGCTTGATCAAAACCACGGCAAACACGTTCAGTTGGAAAGGATTCTTTTAGTTCCATATATGACGCTTGCAATGCTCCACAGCCTGGAAAAAGAAGAGAAAAAATAGGTGTGAAAGAAAGACCTGTATCTTCAAATTACAGTACAGTCAGAGTGAACTTGCATGAACAGCTTGGAACCCCAGTGCCAGCCAGGATTTTGTAGTATAACCAAAATTCTCACCGTACGAAAAGCTTCCCAAGGGAATACCAGCTAGATTTAAATGTAATCTGACTTACATTTACATGGATATTCCACTTAGCTGATTAGATCACCTAGGTCTGAACACCCGCTTGCCATAGAGGCAGGGGCTAAGGAATGCTGCAGCAGACTTCATCACACCAGAGGAAACAACTCAGAGCTCACTAATATATTTAGGTTTCTTTCTATACAGCTTTCATCACTATGGTCCCTAAACATCTCATATCAACTAAGAACAATTTCTTCAGCTGTTTAATGGGTAGCATTAAGAACTCTGAAAAATTTGGGTTTGTAGATATGCTGGGAAACTGCTCTGATATTCTGTAATTATAACACGTCAGACTAGACTGGATTAATGGAGTCTGCTGGAACGTGCCAATTAGTGCACTCCCGCAGCCTCCAGTGTCTCATGTATCAGCATCCCTGTGCTTCAAAATGGCAGTGGGGGTGATTTAATTAAAGCTTGTTTGACAAGCTTTAGATAAAGTGCCCTCATCTCAATTTTGAAGCACAGGGACACTGATACATGAGACACTGCAGGCGCTTTAATTAGTGCAGCTCTGGGAGCCACTCTAATTAAAGTGCCCCACCCCTGGAGCACATGTAAAAACATTCATGTCTCGTCCTTCTTGGCTAGACAGCTGAACAGTATACAGGACAACTTATATCTTAAAAAAGGGACAATGAATCACAACAAAGGACTGAGAAGTGGAAAATAAAATCCTCTTGCACATTAACAAAGTTAAATATTAGCAAAACTAAAACTAGTTATAATTTATACCCAGCCTAACCTTCTGTTTTACACAATGGACCCTCTGTACTATAGGATGAAAACCCACTAAAAAGAGCACATGTGCTATGCACAGTTCAGTGTCACATAGAGATATTTGAATTAGCTCTGGATAAACAAGCATGGGTTTCAAGAAATGGTATGCATACATTCACCCAGCTGAGAAACAGGATATATGAGTCTGGGTGGAGCCTTGCTAATTAATTAATTGATATTGGGCTAATCCTTTGCACTGGCATAAAGAAATCGATTGGTAGAGTGTTCTAGACACATCAGTGTTGAAATTAGTTGAGATTATGACTGCATCATCAGTTTTGTAACTAAAAGAATTACCCAATCCAAGGGTGCAGCATGTGGCAGAAGGGAAGAGAAACTTGGGTTATGCAAGTGTTCAATAACTGAAAGTCTTCAACCCACCCATTGAACACGGGAAGCTCAAGCAATTATACCATTAGCTTTTCATGGTGCTTCACCCAGCATACTCCAACACTGGCTGCAAAAGGGCAGAAATTTATTCTCCACAAAAACTTGACATTTGATGTTTCTTGGGCAAAGCCAGCCAATTCAACCACAGAATATGCAAATATTTTATACCATGCACTGTCATTTGGAACAGCTCCTGCAGGAAACTGCCAAGCTCTTTGTATTTTATTCACAAATGACTTCATCAGTAGAAGTGACTAATCTTTCCACTCCAATAGGATCCCATTCACATAGGATGCACTTTTAGTCTGTATATGTTACATATATTATGCAATTAATTGGTTAATTGAGCAATAGATTTAGACTGGACATATGTGCAAAGTAAGCCCAGGCACAAGTGCAAAGTAATTACCACATAATAAAAATGACCATTCAGCTATAAAAAGAGCCAATCGGTTCTAAAATTAGTGCTTGAAAATGTGTAACAGCTCTACAGCTGGTTTCTATGCAGCTTTAATTTGAATGTGTAGCAGGGCCCATAGTCACAACGCTACTTTAATTCCCCCATATTAGCATTAGCAGATTTCTCTGAAATAATCCAGGATTCCTGGCACTAAAAAGGTTGAGAAGCATTTGAGTGGGTCAGGTGCCGCCTCACAGCTCAGTCAGCTGCTCAAAGCTGCATCAAGTTGAATAGGATTTCTCTAAAGCCAACTTTAGAGCCAACTCTAAGTGCCTCATTAGGTCATTCCCGTTCCTAAGAGCAGCCTCAAGTGTAGACCATCTAATGCATTAGCCAGTTAAACTGGAAATGTCCCAGGCAATGGCACATTTATGCTTCCACTAAAAAGGAGGACAATTCTATAATCCCAACAGGTAGCTCTCCCTCTGACAGGTGTCGGCCTGCACACTTTCACAAGCCTAGGTTAGACATTTGTGGTTCTCTGTCAGAGGAGCTAGATCTAAACGTAACCCAACTCACCCCTCATTTACACCAATATTATACTAGTGCCGTTCCACTTAGCTCTATGAAATTACTGCTTATGACATCTGGGTACATGAAAGGAGAATCAGGGCCAGTATTTTCAAATATTCCATTTCAGTTCGTTGCCAGTTGAATTTGTGGCATCTCAGAGCCTATTCTCACTGTAGAGAGAACTCCTATTACTTACATTTCTACCCAGGAGAACTCTTACAATCTTTTCTCCAATGCCTGATGAAGGGTGTTTGTGCCTGAAAGCTTGCAATTAAAGATTTTTTTTTCAAAAATCTTGTTGGTCTAATAAAAGATATAATCTCTATTACGAGTCCTGATTGCCTATTACTTACATGGCATTCAACTGCAGTCTCCATGTTCTTACACCAGTAGCTTGGGCCCCAGACACATGGGTCAGCACCTATGAGATCCTCTTCAGAGGCTCTACAGACTCTTATTTTCTGTACAGTGAAAAAAGGAAGAGAATGAAACATGTGGTTACATCTTCCCCTTTGCCCAGCACAGTGAGTTATCTCATTTCCTCCCCCATGTTTCAGTCTCTTTTGTACAGCTCCAAGTGTTTCTAGTGGGTGTTTGAGTGTGTAGCCAAAGAAAAGGTAGTGTTGGGAGCTTCCACATTAGAAATGCCAGTTAGGTCTGTAGCTAAAAGAATAGACCTATGAAATGCCTTGAAGGAGCAACGATTCTGACCTGAACCTGTTCAGCTTTCACAAGAAAAGGCTGAGAGGGGATCTGGTGACTGTCTATAAACTTACCAAGGGGGACCAGCAGGGAACAGGAGAGACCCTGTTCCCCCGAGCACTACCAGAAGTAACTAAGAATAACGGCCATAAATTGACTGAGTTGGTTCAGGCTAGACATCAGGAGACACTACTTCACAGTCAGGGCGGCTAGGATCTGGAACCAACTTCCACGGGAAGTGGTGCTTGTTGCTACCCAGAGGGTCTTCAAAAGGAGGCTAGATAAGCACCTAGCCAGGGTCGTTTGACCCCAGCTCTCTTCCCTGCCACGGCAGGGGGTCGGACTTGATGATCTGCTCGGGTCCCTTTCGACCCTACCAACTATGAAACTATTCTTGATCTAATATTAGCAGAAAAACACATTTCACACTTCAGGCTGCCTGGTATTACCATCCCAGGTCCTACTTTAAACTGGGGGTCAAGCAGGGGAAATAGGTCAATACCTATTCTAGGTAATCCTTACTAGAAATAGGTTAATACTAGGCCTGTGCGAATAGGAAAGTATTTGATTTGGATTCAGATTCGGCCAATTCGGAGGACAGTGATTCAATTTGGAGATTTGGATCATTGTCCTGAATCAATTTGGCCAATCAGCTTTGGAAGATTCGGCACCAATTTGGAGAGATTCTGTGATTTGGCCACAGACTATAATGGGGAATCACTGAAATACCTATAACTTTGTCATTTTTTG